AGACAGGGTCGTCCCAATATGCGTTTTTGCAATTTGCATATAGGCAAAAACGCATAAAAACGATTGCGCTTGATGCAAACCATTGGCGACGCGCACCGAGCGGACCCGTGCGATCACGCGTTTTGCAGTGTTTCGTGCTGTAATGAGATCGCTCGGGAACCGGTAGCTAGAAACGTGTGACATACTGATTCTCGAATTTCGGAAAGTTAATTGTCTGTGCTGTAATTGGACAGGGAACATTCTCTGAAAATTTCAGCCTCCCTGCTTTTCCAGCTCCCGAATTAGCCATTTTCCCGCCAAAAATTTCCGTGGGGTCATACATGGTAACTGAAAGTGCCTGGAAAGTTGAATTTGATAAATTTATATTGCACGTGTGCTGGGAACATTCCCTGAAAATTTCAGCGTCCCAGCTTTCCCGGTTCCCGAATTACCCATTTTCCCGCCAAAAATTTCCACTAGGCCTTACATGAAAACCACGCACACCGAGGGGCTGAATTTGATAACTTTAATTTGTATATGTACTGGGAGCATTCCTTGAAAATTTCAGCCTCCTAGCTTTCCAGCTCCCGAGCTAGCCATTTTTCCGCCAAAAATTTTCATGAAGCTGCACGTGAGTCCCACACACTGAAGGTCTGAGTTTGATAATTTTAAGTTACACTTATCGGAAAATTCCCTGAAAATTCAAAGGTTTCAAAATTAGTCCCCCCCCACCTTGATTGGTACCTGAGTTAGCGATTTTTAACCCGGAACTCTCACAGAGCTTTCGTGCGTGTGAATTACGCACACCTAGGGGCTAATTTTGAAACCTTTGAATTCTCTGTGGACGGAGGATATAACCACAAAATTCCAACTTTCTAGCTTTTCTAGTTCCCGAGTTTGCGATTTTCCTGCCAAAACTTTCACCTCCTCGTACGTGGGGCCCAGAGTTGCATGAGTGTTGGTACTGCGGTCCTGGGGTGGCACTTGCCGGAGAAAACATCGGCAAAATTTTGGCGCCGAAGCTTGCTCAGGTGCCGAGTTGAAATATCCGGACACACACACACATCGAGGTCGTCACAATATGCTTTTTTGCATTTGCATATAAGCGAACACGCATAAAAATTGGTAATCGTGTACCTGGATGTCCGTGCGGCTCTGTAATACATCACCTTCATTCCAACCGACGCCCTTCCTCCTGCGTGCCGAAAAGAGCCAAAGCTCGGCCAATAAGAGCCCATGTGTTAGGCTACAGCGTAGAGGTCATTCCTGTTATTAGGGGCTTGTAAGTTTAGTGCAAAAACGCATGGTCGCACCGGCAAGCCTGGTGCGTTCCAGCCGGGTTTAATCTGTTGTCAGGAAGAGACTTTGAAACAAAACTTTTGTATCGCAGAATACATGTGGTTTACAAAAATTTGCGTGCAGCATACCCAAAAACGTGAGAAAAACTGACTTAAAGAAATTTTTCATTGCCTTGTAATGATTTGAAAAGTAAAACTTCGTTTAATCTTTAAATTATAATAGTAAAAAGAAAAAACAAATGGACATTAAAAGCGCGCACATGTTCTGCTTGCACACAAATATATGCACACAGGCGACAAGGATAATAACTCCCAAGGAGATCAGAACAGTTGAGAATACAACCGACAAAATAACCATAATCCCATGCTTTTCACATTTTCAAATTGTAATACACGTAAGCAAATAAGATCCGCCGAGTGGGCCAACTGGTTGTTCTGCTGAATATTCGCAGATGTCAATCATTGGGAAATGGCATTCACGACCAGTCAGCGGATCCTGACGAAAGCGCACACGCAAATCAGAAATACCGATAACAACGGCAGACCGGTAACCTAGGAGGTGAGAATTGGCACTTGGGGATGACGCGTATGCACACATCGATGCACATCAAAAGCCTGTGCCAATTCCAGACTATTTTTGCTGGATTCACTACAATTCTGGATACGGTGATAAGGTAATCCCGATAGACTACAACGCCTAGCTCTCCAGTGTCTTTCACAGAGTTCAGCTATGCGTCATCAAAATGATGTATAACGTGATTCTTGGGAACATTGTTAGAAAGCTCAAATTTAGAAAACGAATTTTGAAGATTTCAAAAGTTCAGTTAATGCTGCTGGATGGAATTTTTGAAAAGCTTTTTTGCTTTTGTAGGAGCATGTTTTTTGGCTTCCGTTCCGCTGGTTTCCTTTGCCTGCGCATCGCGGTCCGTTGCTTCTGAAATAAATTTTCCGGTGGGCATTTATCAGTACTTTCAAATATGATTTGCAACTTTC